ATAAATACTTTAAGTCTTACCAGGCGGCATTTTAATTTAAGTTCCTAGGTGTTTTAACAAACACTTTTAACTACACTGCTAGCAATGCGACTTCAAATGTTCAACAGGAGATAGTAAAATCCAGCTTGCTATTTGGTTGTTTTATGATGCTAGGTCGTTTTGGTTTCTTCACTTATACTGTTTGATCATAAAGGTAAAACATTTATTACTATGTATTAAAGAAATAGAAAGGTAAAATATATTATCAGTTATTTATTATTATATATACTTCGAATTAATTATGTTGGTTAAAATTCTACGTCTAATTTTATTAGTAAAACACAATTCTAATTAACTTCAACTCATCTTCCAACTTTTAATTTTGGCCAGAAGATAAATCGCTTTATCAAAGATCTTAAATAACACTATTCAAAAATATCACACAAGCTATCTGATTGGTGAGTTTTGTTATTCAATTTTTGAAAATCTTAATCATATTATTCGCAAATATCACACAAATCAGCCCCGATCAGCCCATATGTGTCCCATAATGTAATTTCAACCAATCATTAGTTACCCGGTCCGTACGTGCGTACATACATTTTATCTGATCTTAGAAATTTTTGTTTGAACAACAAAAAATTATGCAGTAAGCAGTAGTTTATATAAAATGCTCTGTCTCAATAATAGTGGTAATGATATTAGCTACATGGATTTGATCAGTGATGGTAAATGACCTGGTCATTTGCAAATTTTCAAATGACCTCAAATGACCCTAAAATGACTAGTCATTATCGGTCATCTGGATTTTGGATCATTTGCAAATGACTCGTGACCAAATGACCATGGTCATTTGCAAATGACCGGGGTTATTTGAAGGTCATTTGGTCATTTGGTCATTGTGCATATAATGTTCACCAATTTTCTATATCCATAAACTTTAAATCACATAACGATAATGCATATATCATGCAAGTATTGCACAAATGGAAATCAAACAATGTAATAATTGTTGGATTATCATTACCTTCAGAGCTTATCGTTATCATAAAAGCTTATTAATACGTAATATAAAATATAAAGTATGACTATATAAAGCATAAAGAACTCAACGTCAAACAATTCACTTTACAGAATTAATTAACATTTCAAGAAGATGGTAATCTCCCATTGACTTAGTGAAAAATACTTGGAACAAGTTATATGCTATGACTTGCGTGTTAGTTCAAATTAAATTGACGATACTTTTGAACCTCATAAAAATTGTATAACAAAAGAATCAATTAAACATTAGCGAATCTAGTTAATAATATAAAAAAAAAAAATGGAAAATAAATAAATAAATAAGCAAAAAATAATATAAAACAAAAAAAAACAATTAAATAAAAATAAAAAAATAAATTAAAATAAAATAAAAAAAAAACAATAAAAAAATAAATTAAAATAAAATAAAAAAAACAATAAAAATAAATAAGATAAAAAAAAACAATAAAAATAAATAAGATAAAAAAAAAAAATAAAGTTGTCTCGTAGATAGCGATGGTTAAGCAAGGAGGTAATTTCATAAATAGAAAAAGAAACTCGTGCTTTGTCATATTTGGGGTATCTTATAAATATGGTATCACAAAATCTGTAATTTTTTTTTCGCACAAAATTACGATGGGTAAGAAAGAACATAATTTCTGAGAATTTTTTTATTTGGCTACGCCTGAAAATCCAAGAGCCAAAAAAAGGCAGTTTGCCTTTCATGTATACGAATATATACCTTACCTGTTGCTATAACAAAGCCTGAGTGTTTTGTTTCTAATAAAGCTAAACTATGTCGAAGTCATCTTCGAAGCTGTTCAAATTTTAATGCAAAGTATAATGAAGATGAGGTTGTAGAAATTCTTTCTCGATCAGTACCTGAAGACACAAAAAAAAAAAAAAAGATAATTATATTTTTTTTTTTTTTTTTTTTTAATTCTTTGACAGTCTTGTCGGTGCTCAAATACAAATTATATTACTATTAGAC